ATGTTAGGCTTAGCTTATTTGTGTTTAGGAGCCTACCATCATCAGACTACAATAGCAGATGCCAGTATAAAATTATAATATTGTGTTTTTTGACTAATAATCTACTGTATATGGGATGGTAGAGATGATAGTATTGACCATGTGTTCAGCTACCTCTGCCTTCCCAGGCAAGGATTTCAGTACATTATAAATCTGCAAAACTGTAGATGTTAAATTTGTATGAATGAATTCCTGAGCAGAGATAAAAACAAGAATAATGTAGGGGAAACAGTGATTTGAGCAATATGCCTTCATCTCTATAGATTCACTCCTTCTTGAGGAGCATCACTTTTAATAATAGCGTTAATGACATTGTGCTTATCTAAAACGAGTTGTCACCTAAATTCTTTCTTTTGTGAGCAGGTGCAACCACTTTCTCTCTGCAATGAGAACTGCCATCAGGATTACAGCAGAAGAAAAAAGGAGGGGAAGTCATTTTGCTGCTATGATTGTGTTCCATGTGAAGATGGAAAGATTTTAGATCAAATGGGTAGGATTAGATATAATTCCAACAGTATTTTGATATGTGAAAGTGGGTATGGATAGTTAACTCATCATGGTCTGGGTTGTGCACTAGCTCAAAAAAGAAAGAAAGAAAGAAAGAAAGAAAATCACATGTGAGATATGACACAATTGATCTTAAGGATATTTGGGGTGTGAGTATTTCTGTGTGTAATTTCATATATAGATTGGACAAAAAGTAGAACTAATTATGCCTTGTAGTGTGCAAAAGTAATTGTTCAAAAAATCCTTCAAATCATTTAGAAAATTGTTTATTAAAATATTTTAAAATAAGTTTGTTTGGGGGAATTTGAAAAAGGAAAAAATTCTGCTTGCATGTGAGAAAGAATTTGCACTAAAAGGACCCCTTTACCTTCCTTCCTTCTTTTCTTCCTTCCTTCCTTCCTTCCTTCCTTCCTTCCTTCCTTCCTTCCTTCCTTCCTTCCTTCCTTCCTCCCTCCCTCCCTCCCTCCCTCCTTTTCTTTCTGTCAAAGATGAATTATAGATTAAATCACACAGAAACTCACTCAATTAAATTAATACAACATATATTATATGTACTTAAGAATAACTTACTATTCTTTTTGTTAGTAACAGTATAATTTTTTAATCATTTAAAGAAGTCTCAATGACTCCAAGTAACTCAAAACATAAATCAAATCAATAAAACATAAAGGATAAAAATGTCAAATGTGATAAAATGAGGGGCTGTACTTACCTTCACTTAAGGTCTGGGTAAGTGCCAGAACTTCATGACTCTCTAAACAACAACAGAGTGGCCCATTGAATCTCTGGAGGAATTACAATTCAGGGGATAGATGCTGCTTCCAGAGTCCTAATAGAATCTGGATTTTTAATTGTAGAAACCCAGAGTATTCCAATGCTGCAAGACTAAATTGATAGGGCACATGTATTGTGAAAAATTGCCCTTCAAATAATCAACCTCATATGCTACATAGGGCTTTATAAAAAAAACAGAACTTTGAATTGCACCACAGGTACTGTAGCCCATGAAGCAAAAGCTTTTGTGCAATTTGAAGTGCTGAAGCAGAAGTATTATATGGGCATGTCTATTACTGCTTGCATCATCTCATTTTGAACCAATTGAAGCTTCCAGGTGGTCTTCAAGAGCAGTCCTATGTACATCACCTAGCAGACTCCATCCACAAGGTCACTAGGGCGTAAGTGAGCCTCTTAAGGGCACTCAATGTACGAAAGAGGCCAATTGGCATACCAGATGGAGTTGTTCAAAGGCCTTCCTGGCCACAGCTCACATCTGCTCATCCACAAAGACTCCCAGATTATTTATCAACTTTGAACAGGAAAGTACTGTGCCACCTAAGGTCAAAGATAGAATAACCCCAGATGTGGATGGCCCACACACTTGCATCCATTCAGTCTTGTTAAGACTGAGACAAAAATTATTTTCACACTTTTTTCTAATATCTTGTGAGATATCTGGGCTCACATCCAATTCAGAGATGCCCGCACGCTATATTTTACATAAATGTTTAGGGTAATTTTTAAAAATCAAAATTGATTAAAGTTGCCTACTTAAGCACATATTTCATTGCAATAGAAGAGCAAAATGTTTCTTCCTCTAGATATGGACACATTACATATCCTATCTTTCAGATACAGATGATTGTTTCCAATGCCCAGAAGATCAGTACCCAAATAAAAACAAAGATCAAAGCCTTCCTAAAAAAATTAATCTCCTCTCTTTCACTGAAGCCTTGGGGGTCACATTAAACTTTTTGGCTCTGATGTTATCTGTAATCACAGTTTGGGTGCTTTGGATATTCACAATACATCGGAACACTCCCATTGTCAAAGCCAACAATCGGGATCTAACCTACTATCTCCTTATATCCCTCCTGCTGTGTTTTCACTTCTCATTCTTGTTCATTGGCAAACCATAGACCCTGACCTGCTATTTGCAACAAACCACTTTTTCCATTGTTTTTTTAGTAGCTATTTCTTGCATATTGGCCAAAACTGTCACTGTGGTTCTTGCTTTCATGGCCACCAAGCCAGGATCCAAATTGAAAAAAAATGGGTAGGAAAAAGATTGGCCAACTTTATTCTTCTTGGCTGCTCCCTGATTCAAGCTGGGATTTGTTTTGTATGGTTATGGATATTTCCTCCTTTCCTAAACTTTGACTTTCATGCTTTGGCTGAAGAAATTGTGTGGAGTGCAAGGAAGGATCAGATATCAAGTTTTATTGTGTTCTGGGTTACTTGGGTTTTCTAGCCATTGCTAGCTTCACTGTGGCATATTTTGCTAAGAAATTGCCTGACATTTTCAATGAAGCCAAATTTATCACCTTCAGCATGTTGGTATTTTGCAGTATGTGGTTTTCTTTCATTCCCTCTTACTTGAGCACCAAAGGAAAATACATGGTGGCTGTAGAGGTCTTTTCCATCTTGGCTTCTAGTGCTGGATTATTGGGCTATATTTTTTCCCCTAAGTGCTGTATAATTCTGTTTCAGCCTGGATTTGCTCATTAGAAGGAAATAGTATTCATGTATTAGTTCACATTTACTTTTTTATTATTTAACAACACATTTTCATTCAAAATTCTATAGAAAGCTATCATTCATGTTTCCTTTTCATTATGCTGATTATATTTATCATGTGTTCCTTTCTATTCATTGAATTAATTAATTGAAAAGACTTCTGATGTAGCTTTAAATATTTGGATTGAATCAAATCTTTGCCAGGAGCTTTATTAACTTTTTGTTGGACAATTAACTTTTAATTGTTATTAATTATTCCAAAAAAACCTTCTAAAATAATAGTAATTGATTGTCAATTACAAAATAAAATAAAAAATAGCTATCAATTACATAAAGTCATACTTCTTGGATACTCATATATACTAAAGCAATGCAGGCATCCTAGATCCTAGGAAAAACTCAGTATGAATAAAGATCAACACCAAGTAAAGTACTGGCAACTGTGATTTCATGTTCCTGTTTATATTATAATAATAATAAATATATGACCCCATTCACTCAATGGATCGAAGACCTGTACATATGCCACTTATGAGTGAATTGTCTATATACTGTATGAAGACTTTGTATGGACAAATATAATAAAATATGGAACTCATTTATTATGCAAAATGCATTAGATGAGAAAAAAGCATGGTAGTTATGCACACAAACACACACACACATGTTTGCATAATATTTGCAGAAGGTGTATATAGAATTGAAACTGTTTACTGTTACTTATACTTTCCTTTTAATTTTTCTATCGTATTTTTGACACTTTTTAAAGCACTTATGCTTTTTTTTCTTTGAGTGTGTAATTTTATCATCATTATTTTTGTGTTTTGTTCCTTTTTTAAAAGCAATAAAAGGAAATTTAAATAATCTTAACTTTTGGAAGGATGTAATTATTGTGTATAAAGATAAGTTGAATCTCTTTCAATAAACTGAAAGAGTAGAGATGTCATCTTGTTTTTCCAAATAGATTTATTCAGGCTACTTGAAGGGGCAAGAATAAATCCTGTATTCTTGCCCGCAGACCCAAAAATTGTTGTGAAAAAAACTCCATTTTTTTGCTTCATAAGATAGAACAATAGAGTGAGTATTTCCATTTGAGTACAAAATATGCAAGAGTCTCATAATTTAAAGATGAGGTTTCTCATTATGCATGTGAGGGGTAAAGGTTAACTGAAAATAAGAACTGAAGAAAAGTGCATTCTGTTCTATTTTTTTCTTTTGTAAAATGAGAAGGTTATTAATAGACTCTTTATATACATTACTACTATTCCAGTTTCAACTTACAACATTTGCAAGTTCAGAGGCATAAATTTTATAATAATAAATAAATTTGAAGAAATAAATTTTATAATAATTGGTATTAATAGTTTAACAACCATGTTAACATGTCTAATAGATAAGAGATTTTTGTTGTATAGAATTCTATTTTTACTGAAAAAGACAGACTACATTATTGTTATGTCCTGGGCCTGCTGAGTGACTCAGCAGGTGCAGGAAACTGCAGAGAGGCCCGGGCAGACCACGTGGTTGCCCGGAGCCAGACAGGCTGTCTCCAGCCTATTGTGCATGCGCAAGGCGGGAGAATCCATTGCATTGATTGGCTGACACTGTTCCTGCAAAGGAGTGTAAGAGGAACCCACAGCATTTTGTATTGGTTCTGTTGTGATCTGAATAAAAAGAAGATTGTTGTTACTCCTGCCTCATCTCAATGCCTTTACACTGGAAACAGAACATTGGCAATGAAGGTGGGATGTGCTGCAAGGGAAACAACAAAAAGAAGATAGGCTGACTCACAACAGAAGGCCTGAAGTGCTGGGAAGTTCGGCGTCCAGAGAGTGCGACTCTGCCTGCCAGTATGAGAATGCTGGAGGAGAGCTCGGCAAAAGGGACCCCTTCTCAAACCTTGCAGCACAATGTGTTGATGAGGCCACCAGGAAGTAACGATGTCCAAGCTAGGCCGTCTGTCGGAATTCGACATAGCTCATCCAGAACGTTGGAGTTCTTACGTAGCCCAGGTAAAGAACTATTTTAGGGTAAACCAAGTTCAGGAGGATAGTCTTAAAGCTGCTACGCTACCATGTGTCTGTGGGCAGGAGATTTTTGATATTGCAGAGAATCTGGTCGCCCCAGTGCCACTTGAATCCATTGCTTATGCTGAACTGAAAAGGATTTTGCGAGAACACTTCGAACCAAAGCTTTCGGTGATTGCATGGTGACATGCATTTGAGCAGAAGGACCAGAGGCTTGGTGAGTCTGCTGCAGACTTTATTGCTGTGTTACGACAAGCAGATAGGCCATGCAAATTCAAGGACCTGGAAGAGAGACTCCGGGATCATTTAGTTTGTGGACTGAGAAGTCATGAGCTGCAACAGAAAATATTTGCAAAGGAAGATGTCTCTTTCCAAGATGGTTTAAGAGAAATTTCAGCCGAAGAAGCTGCAGGCAGAGCTGTGAAGGCTTTGCGGCTTGCCAAGAACTTCGATCTCCGTCCATGAAGAGGTCGCTCAAGAAGTATCTGAACAGGATCCTGAGATGGAGGTTGACCGATTGCAGCAGCCAGAAGGCCTCAAGAATACAAAGACAAGGCAACTACATTCCCTCAGTGTTTCGGATGTGGAGCACACCACAAGCACTCAGATTGCCACTTTGGTTCTGCTGTTTGCCAGGCATGTGGCAGGCAAGGCCACATTGCCACCATCTGTTTGGGTTGCCAGAAAGACCGGTCTTTGGAAGTATTGCCTCAGAAAGGTACCAGGGTCCCCAGCCAGAACAGGTGGGCTTTTGCACATCCTATAGAAGCATTCTTAAAACAGGGGCCCATAGGCTGCTAAGGAAGAAGCTTCACATTGACGTCAAGTTGCAGGGGGTTCCCTTTTCGATGGAGTTGGACACAGGGTCCGCTCTATTGAGTATATCTCAGGATACTTTCAAGAAGATTTGTTGTAAAAATGGCCTATGAGTTAAACTCAGGCCATCAAATTTAATTCTTACTGACTTCCAGAATTCCCGAGTCAGCGTGAAGGGGGAGGCAATGCTCAAGATGCAGTGTAGGAACTTCGAAGGGTTGTTGGATGTGCTTGTGATTGAGGGTGACCACACGAGTCTTGTTGGACTCAATTGGTTCAAGGCCCTTGGGATTCAAGTGACTGGACTGCACAGTTTGCAAATGACAGGTCTTGCAGAGGTTTGCAAGGAGTTTGCTGATGTGTTCAGTCCAGAGCTTGGCTCGTAGAAGGGGCCTCCCATTGCTTTACATTTAGACCCATCCATCATACATTTAGACCCATTCTTGAATTCATGGACAGTAATCCATGGGAAACTCCCATAGTTACACCATTAAAGGCCAATGGAGAAGTCCACAATTATGCAGACTATAAGCGTACACTTAACAAAGCATTGCAACAGCACTCATACCCAGTGCCAGTGGTGAGTCACATTCTGGCATCCCTCAAAGAGTGCCGAGTCTTCACCAAGCTTGACTTGGCTCAGGTCTATCAACAACTACCAGTTAATGAGGCAATGGCAGAGGCCCAAACAATTGTAACGCACCGGGGAGCATTTAAGGTTAAGAGGCTGCAGTTCGGGATCCTGTAGATCAAGCAGCTACGATGGCTGCTTTTCACAAAGCATCCCATTCCTGGGTTGTGTAAAAGCCGCAGGACTTTTACAATAAGCTGTCCTGCGGCTTGAATCTCTTCCCTGGGAGAAAGGGAAGGGAAGAGCTGCTCAGATAGAAGTAAGAGCTCCCCTGGATCCCCATAATTTCAGGGATTGGAGGGTAGAGCTCCCTCGGAGCCTGAGCCAACGCCGCACTCCAGGACATCTTTGTCCCGAAGTTCTGGGATGAAGCAAGGCGCCGCTCCCACATCTGCTTTTTTTGGAGGCTTGTGAGTATTCAAATGCAGACGGAGCAGACCAGGAGAAAGTGGATTTAAGATTTATTGTGACTTTAACTCCTGCAAGCATCTTCCCCCTCTTTTTTGTTTACTTTCCCTTTTGAAGAAAGGGAAAGTGAAAGGCAAAATGGCGATTGTCTTTCTTGTTTGATCTGCATTACAAAGTTAAAATCCGGATACATACTAATGCTTTAAATATAGAAGCAAGAATTTGTCTTTTTATTTCTTGTTCTTTTTTTTTCTCTGTAATCTTTTTTCTTTTTTAAGGAATATTTAAAAGAACTGTGATTTTTTCTTTTCCTTTTTTTTTAAACAAGAATCTTTCTTCTTAGAACTTAATGAAAATGGCTTCAAAACATCTGCCTCCTCCTCCTAAAGCTACTATCTCTTCCCCAATGACCCAGCCTGTTTCCCAGAAACCAAAATCACCTTCACCCTCTCCTCCTCCTGCAATTTCTCTTAAAGATTTACAAGAAGCTTTAAAAAAGCATGCTTTTGACATTAAGGAGGAAGTAAAAGATCTTATAATTGCAGAGAGGGCTGTTACAGAAGAACTATTGGAGACAAAAAATAAGCAAATTAGAGAAGACATACTTTTTGCCTTCCAGGGCCTTGCTCTGCACATAGAGAGGATTGACGACAGGATCGAGGAGATTACTGAAAATGCAACAAGAATGGAATCCAGGATGGAGGAGGTAGAGAATAAGATAGAAATCACACAGGATGAACAAATCATGTCACAATATAGAGAGATGGAGTATGCATTGCGTATCAGGGGGCTGAGAGAGAATCTTCAGGAGGACTTAACGATGCTTATTGTGAAAGATATCGCTCTTAATCTGGGCTGGAGGCCTGAAATAATCAGGAATGAGATAGAAAAAATTTTTAGAGTCAACTCACGGGTTGCTAGACAGAGAAACTTACCAAGAGACGTGGTCATCTACTTTTCTAGAAGATTTACTCATAATGAAATTATACAGGCTTTTTACAAACAAAAGTTTCAAATTGCAGATCAAGATGTGATAATTTTAAAAGAAATACCTCCCAAAATTTTAAGAGGCAGAAAAGACTTTGCTTTTCTGTCTGATGAATTAAAGCATCGTCAAATCCAGTTTAAATGGGAGATTCCAAGAGGAATAATAGTGAATTATGAGGGGATACATCATAGATTAACTACAGTTCTGAAGGCAAGAGATTTTTATCATTCTATTTTAAAGGCAAGATCGTCTTCACCCCCACAAACAAGGATAATGGAAGAGCCTGTTATGGCAGGAGCCTCATCAATGATGGTTATGGAACAAGCTGTACAGAATTTTGAGATGAAAGAACAAAGGATGACACGAGCTGCCCATAAACGTAAAGAAAAAGAGCAGCAGCAGAAGAGTGGAGATAAAGTTGAAGGCATGGTTATTACAGAGCCTGTTGGAGGGGCAAGACCCAAAAGATCTTCGACAGTGGATCTGCAGGCCATGCTCCAGAGGCTCCAGGCTGGTGGAGATGGCCAGGCTCCTGACCTGGAATGTTAATGGCTTAAATGTGCCACAGAAACGAAGAAAGGTTTTCCATTATTTGAAACAACACAACAATGATTTGATATGTCTGCAAGAAACTCATATAACTTTAAAGGACTCCAAACTTTTGATGAATCCTCGTTTGGGTTCACATTTCATTGCTCCAGCTCCAGGGAAAAAAGGGGGAGTGGTAATTTACGTGAAGAAAAATTTTCCATCTAAATTAATTGAGACTGACTCTGAAGGAAGATATCGTTTTGTGGAATTATCATTACAAGGTAAAAAAGTTCTTATTGTTGAATTATATGCTCCTAATCAGCAACAGAAACAATTTTATAAGTTTTTGCATGGGAAGATATCCCAGTTGGATTATAAATCTGTAATCTTGATGGGTGACTGGAATGGGGTTTTAGATTCAACTATAGATAAAAGGAGCTCTTCTAAAACTTTTACCCAAACTAGGTTACCTAAAACTTTTTTTGATTTGAAAGAAGAATTGGAGCTTATTGATATTTGGCGAGAAAGGAATACAAGTGATAGAGATTTCACTTTTTATTCGGATAGACATCAATCATTTTCAAGAATTGACTTTTTCTTGATTACTAGTGACCTTCTTTCTAGAGTGAGGAAGGTGAAAATTTTTCCCAGAACTTTGTCAGATCACAGTCCGGTATGGATGGAATTACATTTGGAAGATGGGAACAGAAGAGAATTTGTTTACTCGGGAAGAGTTTGTACAAAAATGTAAAGAGCATTTAAAGGACTTTTTTGCTATAAACATGAATAAGGGAACATCGATGTCCATGGTTTGGGATGCCAGTAAGGCATATATGAGGGGAATTTTGATTCAATTGAATAAGGTTTTTAGGGAAAAAGGGTTAAAAAGACGTAGAGAAATAGAAGAAGAGATTAAATTAAAAGAACAAGAGTTTGTTCTTAATCCAACTGACAATAATTTAAAGGTATCTATAAAGATGCTTAAGGAACAATTTAATATGTTGATGGCAGATCAGGTGGCTACTAATCTGTCGTACATGAGACATAATACTTTCTGTAACGCGAATAAGCCTGGGAGGTGGTTGGCTTATCAGTTATGAAAGAAACAGAAAGCTAGAATTATAGAGAAAGTAAAATATAAAGGTACTGAGGTTTTTCAGCAAAATTTGATCCAAAAGAGTTTTTTAGATTTTTATACAAAATTATATTCAAGTGATAACATAGAGGGTGTGGATATAGACAAATACTTACAATCTGTGCATTTTCCTAAACTTTCAGGGGAACAACAAAATGGGATGAATAGATTAATTACTGTGGAGGAAATTGGTTTAGCTATTAAGCAGTTAAAGGTTGGAAAATCTCAGGGGAACAGATGGATTGACTTCGAGGTATTATAAGACTTTATCTGAAGAAATGATGGAGCCTCTAAAGGAACTTTTTAATAGTATTATGTTGGGTACACAAGTGCCTCCTTCTTGGAAAAGAGCCTTTATATCACTGATTCCAAAGGAAGATCAGGATCTTACAGAGCCTAAGAATTATAGGCCAATTTCATTATTAAATGTTGATTATAAGATTTTTACAAAAATTTTGGCAAACAGATTAATGCGGGTTATGAAGGACTTAATTCATAATGACCAAGCAGGATTTATAACAGGGCGATATAAGAAATATAATGTTAGACAAATTATAAATTTAATTGAATACTTGGATAAGAATAATCAGATTCCTGTGGCTTTTATCTTTTTGGATGCTGAAAAAGCCTTTGATCAATTAGATTGGAAATTTCTATTTTCA